CCTAGACAGAGGGACATGAAGGTCAAGTTCTTATTGGCTATGTTATGTGAGTCCTAGCTTTCAGGTATCATCAAGCCCAAATATACATGGTTCTGCATAATTTAGTATCTTCACCATCATCATCATATTTGTAGACAAGCTCTTTCCACAATTAAAGTCTTTGTGTGATCTCTCACACCAAGTGAATCTCTCTGATAGTCCCCTCTCAGGTTAAACTGCTGGGGGCCATGCATGGCTGGAATCTTCTGTATGATATACTTGCCAGGCAGCCCTTTGTGACTGCATATGAGGTAGCTCTTTAAAGATTTTGCAATGATTAGAAAGTGACATCTTAGATCAAGTGAAAATCTGTTGTCCATCCCTAAAAATTCTTTTCTTTGTTTTCAACTCTAACACACTGAGATGCAAAGATATTTCTAAGAAGTTCTTCAAATGCTTTAAGACAATGGTCCAACTCATCCTCTACCCTAAACCTTTATTTTTCTGGGCTAAGTATCCTCGGTGTTAGCTGTTTTTTAAATGAAGCCATGCTCAGGTGCTCTCTGACTCTTAAGGAATGGCTATTCTTTAAGATATTCTGACCCCCACAACCTCATTTGAAATGAGGCTCTAAGAACTAAACATGATATTCCCACTAGATTCTCATCAGTGCTGTGTGCTCATCTACTAATGTAGATTGTATTGGCATCAATTTCTTTGGCAGCCGTATGAGATGGCTGACTCATACTGAGCACGGAGCTGGCTAACTTGTTTGTTTATTTCCATCTCAGTCACCAAAATGTAAGTATATGACTTACAGGATTGGTTCCTGGAAATTATGGCTACACTTGGAACAAGAATTAAAACACTGTAAAGTTTTAGACACAACCAAAAACTAGCAGTATATTTAATCATTTATTTAAACAGATCCCCTGATACTGTCACAGTTATTTTATATCTTACTTTAGCAAATCTGCTTATGGTCAGAAACTCACCTAGGGAATTTCCATCATCCATTCTCTCCCGACTTTCACTGAAAACAGTTGTTAAGTTTGCCTTTGATGTTAGCCATAAGAGATGACAGGTTTTGGATTAGCCAACTAGTGTCCTTCAGCTAAAGTCTAAACACACATGAGATGGTTGAAGTCATAAAATGATATGCTGTTTTGGAACCATTTCCCACTGAAGATGAACTATTTCTCAGCTGAAACTGAAGATGAAACAATATATACTCAGCCAGGCTCACTTGCTCAGGGTCCACATTAGCCTTTAAACAGAAAGACATCAATGTAAGACAAAAGCCCAGGGTGCTGCAGGTCCCATTGGTGTTTCTTCTGTCCCCAATACTCTCCTCACTTCTGAAACTCAAAGACTCACATTTCATTCATTGGAAACTCACCAGCACCCTTTAGTTTTACTCATGACAAGTATAATTCTGGTTTTTAGGATATGCAGCATTCATAAAATGTTCATGTGCTTTGTCTTAATTTGGATCTCATAATGTTATGAAGAGGATAAGGAAGATATTAGTCTCTCCATTGTAGGAACAAAAACACCGAGCCTAAGAGAAGTTAAGTAACCAGAACCAGGTCACACGGCTAGTCGACAGTGGAATCCAGGCCCAGGTTTTGACGCTGTCTAACACCTGTTAGTCACTATAAAAGAGAAGGAATTGAGCAGTGGTTCTCAACCCAACTGCACATAAGAATTACCAAGGGAACTTTTTTAAAATGTACCAATTCCTGAGCCCCATCTCTTAAGATTCTGTCATTTTTCTTCGGCCCTGACATCAGAAATTATGAAAAACTCCCCAGGTGATTCTAATGCTCATCATGTTAAGAACAAATGTCAGAATGTGGCTAAGCACCCAGGCTCTGCAGTGAGGCAGCCTGCATGCAGATCCTGGCTCTACCATGGAATAGCATGTGATCTTGGGCAGGATATCAATCTCTCTGTAGTTTGACTTCCCCATCTGTAAATTGGGTATCGTAAGAGAATCTACTTAAGTTCAGTCCTGGGAAGACAAAATGTAATAATCCATGTGATTCACTTAGCACAATGAATAACTAATAATAACCACTAATAAATGTGGACATCCATATTGTTATTGTGCTTTGCACTTCTTAAAAAGTTTTCATGATCAGTATTTCATTTATTTTTTGCAAAAACACTGTAAGATAAGTTATGAGATTCAGATTTAAAATTGGAAGAATGAGGTTCAAAGGTAGTTATGGCCTAGGGAGACCAACTGTCCAGTTTGCCTGGGACTGAGAGGGCCCTTGGGACACAAAGTGCTCAAATCGGAAAGTCTGGGGCAAAAAATAAATTCCTTTGACTTGAAATTTGAGTTCTTTCCAGGAAGCCATGCTTCTGAGTAGTATTGGGAACTGCTCAAGGATAGACAGTACCTTTTCCTGGTTGTTCCCCACTACGAAGTACTCTGCCCAAGCTCCACTAAAAACTCACTCATTTTCTGAATAATTATTAACTGAATGATTATTTAACTAACTGGTAGATTAAGGCTAATAAGTATATAGTGAAAGTGATTCACAGATATTTGCATATATGTAATTCCCTTCTGTTAATATTAAATCACTTGTGTAGGAATTATTGTGTGTTCAGACCTGTTTACTATACTGACCTTATACTTAGCTTTTCTTCTCTCAGAAGTTGTATAATATAGTGAAATGCAAGTAGCTGATTGGCTTCAGCTCTGCCTAATCCTGGGAAAGTTTATCATCTCCAAGCTTTGGCTTCCTGATCAATAAAGTTAGAATAATAAGACCTACATCAGAGGTTTGTTTTGAGGATTAAATGAGATAACAAATGCAGTGCACCTGGCACAATGCAGCATCCGACAGCTTTGTATGAATTTGTAGACAAGTTCATGCTTTACATATGTGTTTGTTTGAATTTAACTGGACATTCTTGAGGAAGAAGAAGGAAGTTTTTGCCATATGCCAATCACCTTCCTCATTCATCCTGTCACACCCCACACCCAGGGGTCACTAATTTGATTTGTCTGATTTCAATGCACCGTTTGGGCCACATTTAGTGGTAGGTAGAGTCAATATGTTACAAAGATCACGTACACGGAAGCGCCATTTTTTCCTCTTTGTTTCTCTGTGTGTTTAAATAAATGAACTAGCCATCATGATCACTCTCCTGCTCATGAACTGAACTGCTCATGAACTAGCGGTAGGTTTGGGCTAAGAGGGAAGGTGACACTTCTAGCCAAATTATCCAATAAACGCTGAGTTAGTGGTTATAGTAAAAAGTGTGAATAACAATAAAGTGTTAACATTAAAATGGTATACATCTTGTTCTTGTTGACCTGGGACTCCCCACCCCAACTAGGAGATACCAAGGCAGGCAGGCAGAACTGGCAATTGGAACTCAGCCACAAGAAGCTGGCCCCAGAAACCTCTTTGACCCTGCTGGCCTGAGACTCTCTCCCCCCACTGGGTGACACCTGGCAGCCCAGCAGCCTAGCCTGGGGATACCCCACCTCACCCTCACGCAGCGCAAACAAGGACTGGTGGGGTCCTCCTACATCTGCAGCAGATTAATTAAGCAGACAAAAATAACACCATAAAACCTCTGAAAATGATACGATTATTAGAACCACAGTCCCAAAAAGTAAGCCAGGACCTGCTTGCTAAACCTAAATAGGGTGATTGTCTACCAAGAGTAAAAGATTTATATAGGATCCAGAGTCCCACACCCCTCATTCAGCAACCGAGAGAATTACTATCCAGAAAATCTGCAAGGTTGTAGATGATCAGAAGAACACAACCAACAGGGAATAATTGATGTATAAGGAACATTCTAGCAAACAACAGCGAAATACATGTTTTTTCAAGTACCCATGGAACATTCACCAAGTAGACCAAATCTTTGATTATAAAATAAATCTCAACAAATTAAAAAGAGTTGAAATCTTACAGAATGTGTTCTCTGTTCATAATGGAATCAAACGAGAAATCAGAAACATGAGAACAAAACCTCTAAACACTTAGAAATTAAATAATGCACTTTTAAATAATCCATGGGTGAAAGAAGACATAAAAAGGATACCTAGAGGGGCTGGCCCAGTGGTGTAGTGGTTAAGTTCAGTGTGCTCTGCTTCAGCTGCCTGGGTTCATAGGTTCGGACCCCAGACATGGACCTACACCACGCATCAAGCCATGCTGTGGTGGCAACTCACATGCAAAATGGGGGAAGATTGGCATAGATGTTAACTCAGGGCCAATCTTCCTCAGGCTAAAAGAGGAAGATTGGCAACAGATGTTAGCTGAGGGCCAACTTCCTCACCAAAAAGGAAAAAAAGGCTACATAGAACTGAATGAAAATAAAAATACAATATGTCAATCAAAATATGTGGGATGCAGTAAAGCAGTGCTGAGAGGATATTTCATAGCATTAAATTCTTATAAAAGAGGATAAGTTTCAAGTCAATAATCTAAATTTCTACCTTAAGAAATTAGATAAAGAGAGGCAAAATAAGCCCAATGCAAGCAGAAGGAAGGAAGAGGATGAAAAGACAAGCTACGGACAGAGAAAATGTTTGCAAACCCCATATCCAACAAAGAACCATAGAGATTACATTGAGATTAATGTTGTTTCATGGCTGTGAACACAACATCCATTCTGTAGCCCATGGATTGAGGAGTAATTTCAACTTTCAAGTGTTATTATTTAAGAAATACATTTCCTAAGGCTATAGCTGCCATAGATGGTGACTCGTCTGATGGATCTGTGCAAATTCAATTGAAAACCTCTGGAAAGGATTCACCATTCTAGATGCCAGTAAGGACATTTGTGATTCATGGGAAAAGGCCAAAATATTAACATTAACAGGAGTTTGGAATAAGTTGATTCCAACCCTCATGGATGACTTTAAAGGGTTCAAGACTTTAGTGAAGAAAGTAACTGCATGTGGTGGAAATAACAAAAGAACTATAATTAGAAGCAGAGCTTGAAGATGTGACTGAATTACTGCAATCTGATGACAAAACTTCAATGGATGAGGAGTTTCTTCTTATGGATGAGCAAAGAAAGTGATTTCTTGAGATGGAACCTACTCTGGTGAAGATGCTGTAAAGATTGTTGCAACGACAACAAAGGATTTAGAATATTACATAAACTTAGTAGCAGGGTTTGAAAGGATTGGCTCCAATTTTGAAAGAAGTTCTGTTGTGGGTAAAATGCTATGAAACAGCATCGCATGCTACAGAGAAACTGTTCATGAAACGAAGAGTCAATCGATGAGGCAAACTTCATTGCTGTCTTATTCTAGGAAATTGCCACAGCCATCCCAACCTTCAGCAACCACCACCCTGATCAGTCAACAGCCATCAGCATGGAGGCAAGACCCTCCACCAGCAAAAAGATTACGACTCACTGAAGGCTCAGATATTGATTACCATTTTTAATCAATAAAGCATTTTTTAAATCTCTCCAAGCTAAGCTTTATCTTGATGCTTTATAGGCTTATTTTAACAATATTTCAATCTGTACATGTTGACAAAAATTGACATGGAGTAAATTAATTCAATAGCATATTTTTTTCCACTTCTTATATATTTTTAATATATTTTTGTTGAGGTAACATTGTTTTATAACATTATATTAATTTCAAGTATACATCATTATATTTCAATTTCTGTGTAGACTATAACATGTTCACCACCCAAAGACTAATTACCATCTATCACCATACATGTGTGCCCTATCACCTCTTTAGCCCTCCTCCCTCTCCCCGTCCCCCCTGGTAACCACCAAAATAATCTCGGTATCTGTGTTTCCTTGTTGTTGTTGTTGATGTTTTTAGATTTTACTTCTGAGTGAGATCATATGGTATTTGACTTTCTTCACCTGACTTATTTCATTTAGCATAATACTCTCATGCTTATAATACCCACCCATGTTGTCACAAATGGCAAGATTTCATCTTTTTTTAACAGCGGAGTAGTATTCCGTTGTGTATATATAACACATCTTCTTTATCCATTCATCCCTTGATGGGCACTTAGATTGTTTCTAAGTCTTGGCTGTTGCAAATAATGCTGCAATGAACATAGGGGTACATATATCTTTAGACATTTGTGTTTTTGTGTTCTTTGATAAATACCCAGCAGTGGAGGGGGCCGGCCCAGGGGCAGAGTGGTTAAGTTTGCATGCTCCACTTTGGCAACCCAGGGTTCGCAGGTGTGGATCCCAGAAGCAGACCTACGCACCGCTTGTCAGGCCATGCTGTGGTGGCATCCCATATACAAAATAGAGGAAGATTGGCAACGGATGTTAGCTCTGGGCCGATCTTCCTCACACACACTCACAAAAAAACCTAGCAGTGTAATAACTGGATCATATGGTAATTCTATTACAAATTTTTTGAGGAATCTCCATACTGTTTTCCATAGTGGCTACACCAGTTTACAGTCCCACCAACAATATATGCGAGTTCCCTCTTCTCTACATCCTCTCCAACACTTGCTATTCCTTGTCTTTTTAATTATAGCCATTCTGAAAGGTGTGAGGTGATATCTCATTGTAGTTTTGATTTGCATTTCTCTAATAATTAGTGATGTTGAACATCTTTTCATGTGCGTGTTTGCCATCTATATATCTTCTTTGGAAAAATGTCTGTTCAGATCTTTTGCCTATTTTTTAATTCAGCTGTTTGTTTCTTTGTTGTTGAGATGTATGCGTTCTGCCTATAATTTGGAGATTAACCCCTTATCAGATATAGGGTTTGTAAATATCTTCTCCCAACTGTTAGATCATCTTTTTGTTTTGTTGATGGATCCTTTTGCTGCACAGAAGATTTTTAGTTTGATGTAGTCCCATTTGTTTATTTTTTCTTTTTCCCTTGCCCAGTCAGATATGGTACTTGAAAATATGCTGCTAAGACCACTGTCAAAGAGTATACTGCTTATGTTTTCTTCTAGAATTTTCATGGTTTCATGTCTTACATTCAAGTGGTTAATCCATCTTGAGTTAATTTTTGTGTATTGTATGAGATAATGGTCTACTCTCATTCTTTTGCCTGTGGCTGTCCAGTTTTCCCAACACCATTTAAGAGACTTTCCTTTCTCCATTATATATTCCTGGCTCACTTGTCAAAAATTAGCAGTCCATAGATGTGTAGGTTTATTTCTGGGCTCTCAATTCTCTTCCATTGATCTGGTGCCTGTTTGGGGGCCAATACAATGCTGTTATGATTACTATAGCTTTGTAGTATATTTTGAAATCAGAGACTGTGATACCTCCAGCTTTGTTCTTTTTTCTCAGGATTCCTTTGGCTATTCGGGGTCTTCTGTTGTTCCATATAAATTTTAGGATTCTTTGTTCTGTTTCTGTGAAAATGTTGTTGGACTTTGACAGGGCTTGCAGTGACTCTACAGATTGCCTTAGGAATTATGGACATTTTAACTATGCTAATTCTTCCAATCCACGAGCATGGAATATCTTTCTATTTCTTTATGTCTTCTTCAATTTCTTTCAACAATGTTTTATAATTTTCAGTGTAGAGGTCTTTCACCTCTTCAGTTAAACTTATTCCTAGGTATTTTATTCTTTTAGTTGTGATTTAAGTGGGACTGTAGTCTTAATTTCTCTCTCTGCTACTTCACTGTTAGTGTATACAAAGGCAACTTATTTTCATATGTTGATTTTATATCCTGCAACTTTACTGTATCATTTATTATTTCTAATAGTTTTTTGGTGGAATCTTTAGGGTTTTCTTTATACAAAATCATGTCATCTGCAAATAGTGACAGTTTTACTTCTTCCTTTCCAATTTGGATCACTTTTGTTTCTTTTTCTTGCCTCATTGCTCTGGCTAGGACTTCCAATACTATGTTAAATAAAAGTGGTGAAAGTGGGCATCCTTGCCTGATTCCTCTTCTTAGAGGGATAGATTTGTTTTTCTCCATTGAGTATAATATTAGCTGTGGGTTTGTCATGTATGGCCTTTATTATGTTGAGGTACTTTGCTCATATACCCATTTTATTCAGAGATTTTATCATAAATGGATGCCGTATCTTGTCAAATGCTTTCTCGGCATCTGTTGAGATGATCATGTGACTTTTAGTCTTCATTTTGTTGATGTGGTGTATCATGTTGATTGATTTGTGGATGTTGAACCATCCCTGCATCCTTGGAATAAATCTCACTTGATGATGGTGTATGATCTTTTTAATGTATTGTTGTATTCGATTTGCTGGAATTTGTTGAGGACTTTTGCATCTATGTTCGTCAGGGATATTGGCCTGTAATTTTCTTTTTTTGTGTTGCTCTTGTTGGTTTGGTGTCAGGGTAATGTTGGCTTTGTAGAATGAGTTAGGAAGCTTCTCCTCCTCTTCAATTTTTTGGAAGAGTTTAAGAAGGATATGCATTAAGTCTTCTTTGAATGTTTGGTAGAATTCACCAAGGAAACCGTCTAGTCCTGGACTTTTGTTTTTTGGGAGGTTTTTGATTACTGTTTTGATCTCCTTACTGGTGATTGGTCTAATCAAATACTCTATTTCTTCTTGACTCAGTTTTGGAAGGTTGTATGATTCTAAAAATTTACCCATTACTTCTAGATTATCCAATTTGTTGTCATATAGCTTTTTGTAGTATTCTCCTATAATCTTTTGTATTTCTGAGGTGTCTGTTGTAATTTCTCCTTTTTCATTTCTGATTTTATGTATTGGAGCCTTCTCCCTTTTTTTCTTGGTGAGTCTAGCTAACAGTTTGTCAATTTTTTTGTTTGTCTTTTCAAAGAATCAGCTTTCATTGTTTTTTTTTTTTTTTTTTTAGTTTCTAGTTCATTTATTTCTGATCTAACTTTTATTATTTCCTTCCTTCTATTGATTTGGGGCTTTGTTTGTTCTTCTTTTCCTAGTTCCTTTAGGTGCACTATTAGATTGTTTATTTGAGATTTTTCTTGTTTGATGCAGTAGACTCGTATTGCCATAAACTTCCCTTTTAGAACTGATTTGCTGTATCCCATAAATTTTGGCATGTTGTATTTTCATTTTCATTTGTCTCCAGGTATTTTTTTATTTATCTTTTGATTTCTTCATTGACTCAATAGTTGTTCAGTAGCATTTTGTTTAATCTCTACATATTTATGGCTTTTCCAGTGTTCTTCTTGTAGTTGACTTCCAGTTTCATACCATTGAGGTCATAAAAGATGCTTGGTGTTATTTCAATCTTCTTAAATTTATTGAGACTTGTTTTGTGGCCTAGTATAAGATCTATCCTGGAAACTGTTCCATGTGTATTCAAAAAGAATATGTATTCTCTGGTTTTTGGATGGAATATTCTGCAAATATCTACTAAGTCCTTCTGGTCTAATGTGTCATTTAAGGTCAATGTTTCTTTGTTGATCTTCTGTTTGGATGATCTATCCATTGGTGTAAGTGGAGTTTTAAAGTCTCCTACTATTGTTGTGTTGCTGTCTATTTCTCCTTTGATGTCTGTTAATAATTGCTTTACATATTTACATGCTCCTATGTTGGGTGCATAGATATTTACAAGTGTTATATCCTCTTGTTGGATCGTTCCCTTTACCATTTTGTAGTGTCCTTCTTTGTCTCCTGTTACAGTTTTTGTTTTAAGTCTATTTTGTCAGATATAAGTATTGCTACTCCACCTTTCTTTTCATTGCCATTTGCATGGAGTATCTTTTTCCATCCCTTCACTTTCAGTTTGTGAATATCTTTAGGTCTGAAGTGTGTCTCTTGTATGCAGCATATATATGGGCCTTATTTTTTTAATCCAATCAGCCACCCTATGCCTTTTGATTGGAACATTTAATCCATTGACATTTAAGGTAGCTTGATAAGTATGTACTTATTGTCATTTTGTTACTTTTTTCTGGGTGTTTTAGTAGTTCTTATCTGTCACTTTCTTCTTCTCTTGCTCTCTTCTCTTGTGGTTTTATGGCTTTCTTTAGCATTATGTTTGTGTATTTTTTGTGTATTTATTATAGGTTTCTGGTTTGTGATTACCATGAGGTTCATATATAATAACTTACATGAATAAGAATCTATGTTAAGTTGATGGTCTCTTAAGTTTGACCCCTTGCTAAAAGCCCTATTCTTTTACTCCCCTCCCTGCACATTTATGTTTTTTATATAATATTTACTTCTATTTGTGTGTGTATATCCATTGACCTCTTATTATGCAAATATATAACAATACTTTTGACTTTTGATCTTCATATTAGCTTCATAGGTGGTTGACCTGCTACTTTTACTGTATATTTGCCTTTACAAGTCATTTTATTTTTGATAATTTTCTTATTCCTATTTGTGGTCTTTTCTTTTCCACTTAAATAAGTCCCTTTAACATTTCTTGTAAGGCCAGTTTACTAGTGATAAACACCTTTGGTTTTTGCTTGTCTGGAGAACTCTTTACCTCTCCTTCCATTCTGAATGATAACCTTGTTGGGTAGAGTATTCTTGGCTATATATTTTTTTCCTTTCAGCACTTTACATATATTGTGCCACTCCCTTCTAGCCTGTAAAGTTTCTGCTGAGAAGTCAGCTGTTAGCCTAGCAATAAAGTGTTTTTAAATTAACTATGTACATTGTTTTTTTAGACATAATGTTATTGCATATTTAAAATACTACTGTATAGTGTAAACATAACTTTTATATGCACTGGGAAACCAAAAAATACTTGTGACTCATTTTATTGTGATATTTGCTTTATTGCAGTCTGGAACCAAACCCACAATATCCCAGAGAAATTCCTGTATAAAGAGCTATCAACACTAAACAGTAAAAAAAGAATACAATTAGAAAATGGTAAAAAAACATGAACAGATATTTCACTGAAGAAGATACACAGATGGCAAATAAGCTTATGAAAAAGACGTTCAACATCACTAGCCAATAGGGAAATGCAAATTAAAACCACCATGAGATATCACTATATACCTATCAGAACAGCTAAAATAAATGTTGGCAAGGATTCAGAGAAAATGCATCACTCATACATTGCTGGTGAGAATGTAAAATGATATAGACACTCTGGAAAATTTTAGCAGTTTCTTATAAAAGAAGACATGAAACTACCATAGAACCCAGAAATTGCAGTCTCAGGCTTTTATCCCAAAGAAACAGAAATGTATGTTCACACAAAAGTCATAGCAGCTTTATTCATAACCACCAAAAACTGAAAACAGCCCAGAGGTCCTTCAATAGATGAACAGTTAAGCAAACTGTGTTACATTCATAACATGTAATACTACTCAGCAACAAAAAGAACAAATTATTGATACATGCACCTCTGATGGATCTCCCGGGAACTAGACTGAGTGAAAAAAGCCAAGCCCTAAAGGTCACATAGTGTATGATTCCATTTATAAAATATTTTTCAAATAATAAAATTTTAGAAATGGAGGTCAGATTCCAGGTTTCCAGTGTTAGCAAGGAGGGAGAAGGTGTATGGGGCAACTGGAGGGAGGTGGGCATGGTTATGTAAGAGCACCACGAAGGATCCTTGTGATAATGGAATGTCCAGTATCATGACTGTAGTACTGGATCCACAAACCTACAATTGTGATGCAATTAAATACAACTAAATCCCCCCCTACACACACACACACATGCATGCACACATGCGAGTATAAGTAAAGCTGGAGAAATCCAAATAAGATCAATTGTATCAATGTCAATATCCTGGGTGTGATATTGTACTAGTTT